AATATATATATATATATATATATATATATATATTCAGACATATTGTTCGTCTTAGAATTATGGGACCTCCTCCTATCCAAATGATTGAAGTTTGACTGTATGTGTGTGTGTATATATATATATATATATATATAGTAATTACCATTGTTACCTTCAAACTAATCAAAGTTTGAGTTAAGAATTAAAACTAGTTTCGAAACTGTAGTAATTAATTTTAATAATAATAAATAAATTTTAATATTTGTCTATCTCTTCGGCAAGCCTCTCCTCCATGGCGAGTAATAGTAATTACCATTGTTACCTTCAAACTAATCAAAGTTTGAGTTAAGAATTAAAACTAGTTTCGAAACTGTAGTTCTTTTCTAGTGGATTAGTTATGTTATAAGCTACAATTCATTAATTTCATATTTTACTTTGTTTTGTACTCTTTTAGGCATGGAAAAAAAAAAGAGTTAAAAGCTATTACTTGTTGTATAATTAAAACAAAAATGAGTGCAGAAACTGCAAATAAAACTGGTTTGAAGTGTTTTTTTGTAGACTTGTTTTTATGAAAATAACCGATTGTGGATAATGGTTGAAAAAAGGCTTTAAAGCCAAGATTTACAAAGATAAGCTAAAGTAACAATTTTCGAATTGATATCTTAACGCGAAGTTAAGGTGTTTTTAACTTTTAAATATGAATTCCTGTTCACAGTCAGTTTGGTTAAAAATGAATTTAACTGAACCGTTAACAAATAACAGTGTTACGATAATCCCACGTTACTTATAAAAGTGCATCCCCTTGAAAACTCGGTAGCGGATATAAATGCAATTTTATACGAGTAAGCTTATTCCCTACGGAAGAAACAAGATTACATTTACTTCACTTTTGACCAACCAGAGGGCTCCAAGCATGGAATTCTACTAGATCCAAAATAAATTTTAATATTTGTCTATCTCTTCGGCAAGCCTCTCCTCCATGGCGAGCAACTAGGACGCCAGGCGCATGACTTTTCAATATGGAAAACAATGTGTCCCTCAAAATTTCCCATGTGTCTTCTTAATTTTGAAACAGGGGGACACGGGTCTCTTAAACTAGGAACAGTACTGCATTGATCCCATTAGGTTGGCAATTCTCGCGCGAAGTAGAGAAGTCGAGATTTCGCGTGAGTCAAAATAGGCATTCAAGAAGTGAATAGAGAATGAATTTCTCGCATAATTTTTTTTCGTTGAAACGTCATAAATTTCAATAATTTATCGTGTCATATGTGTCCCAAACATTACATACATAATATGTAGTCATAATTTAAACGTATACAAAGATGGTAGGAAGAAGCTAAAAAAACGTAACATTTGACAATATTGTGTTTTTGTTATGTAATTAAATTATACAGCTACTTACGGTGTTTAACGTTTTGGGTGTTTATGGATTTTATATGTACATCCGTGTAATTCTTTAGACTACATTCCATGCAAAATTTCTTCCAAATTTAATCTCTGGCACATATTTTCTTGCTGATTAAAATTACTTAGCAGATACCACAAAAAGTCTCGAGGTTTGTTTAGATAGACAAAGTGCTCTGCACAAGTGGTGTCATCTGCAGGTGAATTTTAGCATTCTAAACTCAATAAATCAATAATAAAAAAAAAAAGCTCTAAGTTCCTAAAGGGTCACCATTTACAAGAAATTAAGTATTCATGAAAAGGTTTTTTTAATATCTAAAAAATAAGATAATTATTTAATATTAGCGAATTCAAATTTATAATTATACAGGACAAGTAGATTTATTGAGATGTAAGCAACTGAAAGAAGGCTTTTTTTCTTTTCTTGTATATGTAACATCTGTACCAAACTCAAATAAAATAGAGTCACCTAAAAGTTCAATCATAGCAGTTTGCTTTGTTGTTACGCACAAAGATATGCAATGACCCGTTTGCGGTCTACCACCGCGAGTATCGAAACCCGATTCTGATCACAAGCCCTTAGACTTACCTCTGAGTTACCGGGCGTCAATAGTAGTAGTAAGTATTTTGTTCTAATAGTGAAACGGTATTATGCTGTCATAGCTTTTTAAGTAAAATGGTGATAACTTTGCTGAAGGATATGTTATCGGGATTATACATATATATAACACCATGTGTCCCACTTACACATGCCCCCCCCAGACATACAACGCTAGAACCCGGGTTTTAATACCCGTGGTGGGCAGAGCTCAGATAGCCCATTGTGTAGCTTTGTGCTGGTTAACGTGCTGGATTTTGGAGGTTAGGTTTCGTTGTTCGCGTCCCATTACCCACTAAAAAACGCGATCCGCACTTTGGGGCAATGTATGCGTTATAAGAGTAATGGTCAAATCCTGCTTTTCGATTTTTCAGGAGTTGGCGATGGATGGTGTCGACTAGCTTTTATTTCTTTTGTTTTCCAAGTGGTTAGGGCGCTCGATTCGCAATCTGAGGGTCGCGGGTTCGAATCCCTGTCACACCAAATATGTTCGCCCTTTCAGGCGTGGGGCGTTATAATGTGACGGTCAATCCCACTATTCGTTGGTAAAAGAGTAGCCCAAGAGTTGGCGGTGGGTGGTGATGACTAGCTGCCTTCCCTCTAGTCTTACACTGCTAAATTAGGGACGGCTAGCGCAGATAGCCCTCGTGTAGCTTTGCGCGAAATTCAAAAACAAACACTGTGTAGCTTTGTGCTAAAAAACAACAACCTTACAATAAAGCTCCTAGTTTTGTTAGATGTGTCAGCTAAGTGCCTTTATTGCGTTTAATCTAAGAGAGAAAGGTTCTATAAGTACCTGGGTTCTTGGATACATTGAAACTGAAGGTAATCACTGTTCGTGGTATGCTTCTTAAGAAAACGTTAGCGAACGTTAATATCATTGATCTAAGAGCAACGTTTCAGTGACTCTACCCTAGAAGCTGCTTTAAAAAAAAGTGCTAAAAATATTTTCATTGAATAATGCAATTACCATGGATATTTCAGTAAGCATGAATACACTGATAACTTGCTAGAGATCCGTCTAGTTTGGGAGAAAACGTTTTTGTGGAGAAAATAAACCAATCTTACAATGAAACAACAAGGCCCAACTAACGTTCGTCATTGGAACAGTAGTTTCACGTATTATACTAAGCTCAACTATAAAGCATGTGACAAACGTAATCCTATTCATGAGACTTGTTTACTTTCAATAAGAATATTCAACTTTGATCTAATTTGTTGAAGAAATTTATTCCATCCAAACTAAACATAACAGAGAACTGGTTTCTAGAATAATCTCTCGCTCGTTCCCTAGGAGACAACAAAGTTGAGGAGGTTGGAAATGCGGCTTACTCAGCCACACAAATAATCTTGCCAATGTTTGAAACAGAACCCAAGAGAGGAACCGATATGGTATGTGATTTCAAAGTGTGCTGAAACTTTGTGCAATAAAACTTTCTTTGCCAGTTGAAATTCTGTGGATTATTTAAATCCGGTGACCTCAACAAGCTTGAATACAATTGATCGAGAGACCTTAGAATCTCGAGCCCCCCCCCCCACTGGCACAGCGGTATGTCTGCGGACTTACAACGCTAGAAACCGGGTTTCGATACCCGGGGTGGGCAGAGCACAGAGAGCCCATTGTGTAGCTTTGTGCACAATTCCAAACAAACAATAGAATTTCGAGAAAAAAAAAACAGAAAAAAGAAATATAATCAAAACTCGTCTCTCTTGTAACACACAGAATGAATATATATATTTATTGCTGGTTGAATCAAGAGTTCGTTAAATGTAACTATTAGTGAAAATGCAATTGGTTCAATGAGCAGTACGTTAGTTATGGGAAACAAAAACGTAATGATACCATCTAACCGCAACTACTATATACAAGTATTTCAGTCTGAGAACTAAGGCAAAAAGAAAATACTATAAAAGTATATACACCCCTTCCCCCAAGAAAAAATAATATTAAATCATATTAAACAGAATAACAACAAAAAATTTCGTAACTAAAGTTTGATATTTGAATAAAAATTCAGCAAAAGGTTTGTTTGTTACGGATTTCGCGCAAAGCTACACGAGGGATATCTACGCTAGCCGTCCCTAATTTAGCAGTGTAAGACTAGAGCTAGTCATCACCGCCAACTCTTGGGCTACTCTTTTACCAACGAATAGTGGGATTGACCGTAACATTATGACGCCCCCATGGCTGAAAGGGCGAGCATGTTTGGTGTGACGGGGATTCGAACCCGCGACCCTCAGAGTGCGAGTCGAGCTGGGCCTAGCACAAAGGTGGTCGACATTTGTACACTTTATTCTGTTGATCATTAATTTGTGATAAAACAGAAAGGAGAAGAAGTAAAATTATCTCTCAGAATCGTATGAAAAAGCTAAGCAACGTAGAAGGATAAATTACTATTCCCTCACTGAATATTCCTGTATAATATATAAAAATTTGCTGGAATGTATAGATTAAATTTGTATATTGTGTTAACTCTGCAAGTTTAGTTGGATTTTGTTATTTAACTTTAGCAAGTTGTTCAATATATCTTGTGACAATTTATAGCTTATGGCAGTGTTAATTCTACTCATTAATTTGCACATATATATATATATATATACAAATATATATATAGTTTATTCATTACAATGTATCAGCCAATCAGAAAAGTTAAAGTTAAAACATGGATGATAGATAATACTAGTTCGTTTAACCCGTTAAAGATTTATTAGTTTTAAAAACCAATTTCTTGCTTCTTAATTGCTGTATAAGTGTGATAATAATTCATTACTGATTAGTGACCCATTAATTAAGAAGTTTCTGTTCATAGCTTTAGTCAAGATTTACAAAATAGTTATTTTAATGAATACTAGATGGAGCCTAAAGATAACATCCCAGAAGTTCGTACGCAGCCGTGAGCGTTAATGGTGAACTGGTTTACAATGCGTGCGTGCTAACAAAACGGCTCGTTCAAGTCAACGGTATTTCAAGTCTAGCAATTGCATAGAAGAGCCTAAGTTATAGTCGCGTGCTTGTACGGAAGAAATCCTATCGTTCACTTCTCTAAGAAGCCTTAGAAAATAAGTATTAATAAACCAGTGCTGCCATCGTAGTATTTTGAAGATCTTAAGGGAAAAGTTAATAAGAACTGAGGTCCAGGTACCGCGTTTACGGCAGCATTGGTTGGTTATTCACGTAGATCGTCGGCGCCGTCACAGGCTGCACCTTGGGCTGGGCCAGTTCTTTGTCCTGTTGAGATTGGGTGAGTGAATATTATTTTGTATTGTTGTTTGGAATCCTGCTACTAATTGACACGATAAAGATAAACAAATAACTTGCATAAATTTTATGTAACTTGTCTCCTATGGTGCACAGTCTCCGTGAGCGTGCTTCTTTTAGGCCAGTCGATAGTTATACAAACTGTCATAATTTCAGCTTTAACCATTGCCTGTGGCCCGCTATCCCTATCGAACATGACAGCACTTGACGATTATGGCGGCATGTACGTGTTTTTGTTTTTTTTCTTTGGGGGGGTCGTAAGCTCTCCGTTTTAATTTTAACTGTTACTTTGCATTGCATGTTAAGATGTTAAATATGATCTGTGATATTATTTATGAATATTAATAAAAGTTTAGTAAGCTTAATCAAGTTTGGTTCATATATACATGAACATTTCAGTACGTAATTTTAATTAATTTTAACTTCATAACCTTTGTAAGCTGTTAAGGCTGTCGAAAATAGTATCTTTATAACACTGAGTAGTTAGTCTTGACTATTTTGTGACACATGAAACTTTAAAATTCGTCATATCTTAGTACTGAAACAAGATGGTTTTAAAAGCCGCGTTGAAAATTGTATGAAGATAACAACAACAGTGCTCCATTAACTTATGTTTAAAAAAATCTGTGTTTTACACGTGTTTATCTTAGTTACAACTCCATAATCATGAAGAATTCTTTGTAACATCAAACATTGCACTTTTCTCTCTCTCTCTCTTGTTTGTAGATCTTAATTCATTCACCATTTTTTATGTTTTCTGTTGTGGTTATTGAGACAAAATGTTAAGTTTAAGTCTAAGTTTGTTTCACTGTAAAATAAATGGCTCAGGAAACGGTTTGTAAGTTTGTGTTTATGTGATAGAATTTTACATAAAATAATTTTTTATGCATTTTCCATTTATTCGTAGTAAACTACAACTTTGCTGTTGACATGTTGCAACGATTTAGAATGTGACAGTAAAGATCTTGAGACTTTGTTGGGGGTCCTTACGTTACGGACGTTCTATTTATTTATAGAAACTTATATTTCCGTGAACCTGTACCCTCTTTACGTCGCAGCTGTTTGGTAATTTAAATTCCCTAAATTAAGCTGCGTTCCCCAGGAATTGGCGTGTAGTTACTTATGTGAAATATTACTATTCCAAGAAAGACGAGATCCGTGTTGTAGCTTTTTAAATAGATAGCTCCTGTTGATCTGACGATAAGGTTTATTTAGTCGGTGATGTATTATAAGTCATAAACGAAACAACGTATTACTGTTGAAACGAGTAGAAAAATGTTTCGACTTCACTTGTGAATTTAATAGATAATCGTGCTGCACTATATACAATAACGCTGGTTTTGCTTAAGGGCTCAAAGTTGTTTACTGGTTGTTGCTAATGGACATTGTTATGGAGCAATGCTTAGTATTATTAGAAACGAAGTTACTAATTTTTATGGTTTAAAGGCTCAGTGTATTTTTCGGGTGTTTCTATACACGAATAAAACCATGCTTTCATTTCCTAGACAAAAATCAATTCTGTTCCAACGTTTTGGCCTTAAGTCTACACCAGGTGGTTAGAATTGGTAAAAATATTAACTTTTTTGTGTGTGTAGGATTTCGATGTATAGCCCTTTTCACACCACTAATAACGTAAGGTACTTTAGCTTGTTTGTTTGTTTGAAGTTAAGCACAAAGCTACACAATGGGCTATCTGTGCTCTGCCCACCACGGGTATCGAAACCCGGTTTCTAGCGTTGTAAGTCCGCAGACATACTTGTGACGATATGATCACATGTTTTTCCTGAGTATTTTAGATTATTTATTACTGGTGAGAAAAGGGCCATACATCAAAACTTTTAATGTTTAACATTCCACCAATATATTAAGCTTATTGTATTTGTTTGCTTCGCTATCATTAACAGTACTGATGAGCCGTGAATTCTGCGAAACTAGTCTACTGCAAAGGGAGTGACGAATCAAAGAATAGATTATGTCTTGAAGGACAGTACACATACAGGTATATGTTCTAACCAGCTAATTAGAAATGGTGAGGGGGTGATCGCGGCCTAGTGGTAAGTGTGTAGGCTTCCGTATCGTAAGGTCCGAAGTTCAAGTGGCGTTATAACACCGAACAAGCTTCGCACTTTCAGATACGGGAGAGTTGTAATCGTGGTAGTCAATCCTGTTATTCCGTTAAGTGTAGGCAGTGAATGCTGCCCACTGGTCAGCTGTTCTAAATTACTGATGGCTATGCCTGAATCTTTTGTCTCTACGCTTAATTGTCGCAAAATACTTGGTACTTTGTAGTAGTAAACTACATCGGCGAGGTTTTAGTGTGTGTTGATTCAGGTAACACCGAACTAAGTGTGACGTGTTTGAAAAAATAGAATCAAACGTTAAATTCCTTCGTATCTCAAACAAAAAAACAAATTAGCTGAGGAGATGAAGGCATTGAACGTATGATTTTATTTCTTTTTTTTTTTTCATTTACAGTTATGTAAGAGCTGTCAGAAGACCAATCTAAAACAGTGACGTTGAGTTTGGTATCCATAGTTACCTAACTGTTATTTGACTGAGGCGCCACCAACATAGGTGACGGAACTGAGGTGTAAAACATGTAATGCTGATACGTGTGTACAGACATGTAGAATATATATAAGTACAACGAAATGGTAATATCCTGTTGTTGGTATATTATGTTCTAATATAAAAAATGTAGCTCATAGAATACGATTTTTTTATATCACCTTTCAGGACAGTATTCTATCATGAAAACACTTTGCATAGTAAACTAACAGCAGAATTTATCTCAAGCATGGACATTAACCGAGTGCCATTTATACATGCGTGAACACAGAACGATACAGAACTGAACAATGACCAAAAACTAGCTAATATTTCCCAGTGTATCTGTATAAAATGTGTCAGTTGGGCATTGTGTTGCGTCAGCGAGGTCACGTGACTAGTATCACGCCACGTCCTTCTCGAACCTTCGTGAATTATCGGGAGACTACTAGATTGGAGGTAGTATGGTATATATAAGACAGGCCACGAAGCGACGGGGAGGTAATGAGTAATTGAACTGCAGTCAGAGAGTGTGTAATTGAACTGAGTATTGTTGAAGTCGAGCACGTGAGACGTTCGTTGAGAATTATAGCGCGACTGTTGAAATTACGTGTATCGTAAAGTTATATTCAGAAAGAATAAACCAGTTTTATTTAAGAAAGGACTTGTGTCGCTAAAGTTTCGTCGGAACGAATTTACGGAAAATTAACTAACGAACGGAGACGTAACAATTGCAAGTTTTTGTTTTTTTTATATTTATTGAACAACCATGTTCGTAATAAACCTTATTTTTTCGTCTGTCAAGAAATTACACATTTTCATCATAACTTTTATTTGTATCTAGAAACCCTTTTTTTTACAGAATTTTTTTGTTTTCATTTCAACAGTTTTTTAAGTTTATAGAAAACCAGAACAAAACGGAAAAAATGTACTTTTGTATTGCATCATCTTTTAAAAAAAGATTCCAACATTACATCTACTACTTGGGCCTTTACAATTGATATGCTGTCTTGAAGTTAATATTACAAGCAACAATGCGAAAAAGGCTATTTAGTATCGTGCTGTTTGTCTAACATAATTTGTTGTAGGTTATCAAAATAAAAGAAAAAGTACTATTAGGCCACGCTGTACCTAATGTCATTATAGTTGTTATAATATAATTTGTTGTATATCAGTGCCTTTATGAGTTTATAATTCATTATATCTGGTTTCATCAATAACCGGGCCTCCAGCTAGTAAAAGATAAACGGCCATGTTGTCCTTAATATAACACAAAAGACTAATTACCTTCGAGGTTTATAAACAAGCCGATAAAATGAAGTAAAGTCATAAATTAAAAAATAAAGAACGCGTATTATTAACAGCATATCGTACTTAATATAATATTAACAATATATTTTAGCATACATTTCAAAATCAACATTGAAATTATAAGGGTTAAATATTATTTACGAGGAATTTCCCTACCAGTAAGGGTAGGGCGTGGTTTGTGTGCCCAAAAAACATTAGAAATTGTGGAAGTTTTTAAGTTGTAATTATTTTAGGTATGTTTTTAATTGATAATCATGCCATATTCTTGTAACGTTCAAGTATCACCAGTTAGGAAACAGTTATGTAGTTTTTAAGTTGTAATTATTTTAAGTATGTTTTTAATTGATAATTATGTCATATTTTATAACGTTCAAGTATCACCAGTTAGGAAACAGTTATGTAGTTTTTAAGTTGTAATTATTTTAAGTATGTTTTTAATTGATAATCATGCCATATTCTTGTAACGTTCAAGTATCACCAGTTAGGAAACAGTTATGTTGATTTTAACAGTTTGAAATCATAGTTATAACGTCGTCTGTACTGTTTCATAGATTCAGTTCTTATAAGGCCCGGCATTGGCCAGGTGGTTAGGGCGCTCTACTCGCAATCTGCTGGTCGCGGGTTCGAATTCTCGTCCCATCAAACATGCTCGCCCTTTCAGCCGTGGGGGCGTTATAATGTGACGGTCAATCCCACTATTCGTTGGTAAAAGAGTAGCCCAAGAGTTGGCGGTGGGTGGTGATGACTAGCTGCTTTTCCTCTAGTCTTACACTGCTAAATTAGGGACGGCTAGCGCAGATAGCCCTCGTGTAGCTTTGCGCGAAATTCAAAACAAACAAACAAACAGATTACATAGATTACTTGTGCTCTTAGCTTGACTAATTATAATTATTATTACTTACTAGTGCTCTTGGCTTGTCTAATTCACTAAACTTCCCCGACAAAAATTTAACGACATCCATCTATTGTAAGCCTACCGACTCCCAATGCTTTCCTGGATTACAGCTCCTATCATCCCATATCCACTAAAAATGCCATTCTCAAATCACAGTTTTGCCGCCTCCGTCGCTTATGCAATTCCAAACTCGATTTTATCCAGAAAGTTGATGGACTGTCGTTGTTTTT